TTATTAAGAGCATTGTATTGACTTAAGCCGTAAAATAACACTTAGGAATTAAATTACGTTCAGTTCAGTAAACTGGGAGAAAATAGGGGCGAACGTGTGTGAAATGTTTAGTGCTTTCATGTATCTGAGAAATTTCCTACGCTATTACATGCTGCTGAAAATAATTTTTGTGTGTGCATGTTGAAATCTAAAAGAACATGTATGAAAAGCACGAACTGCTTAGTTATATTTATACACGAAAAGGACAATTATAGTTTGCCTTTTTCAAATTGAGGTTAGAGCTATTATGAGAAAGCTCATTATTTTTGGAAAAAAAGGGTGAAATAAGTTTAACCAAATTATATTTTGCCTATCCTGTCAGTGTTGTGCCATACCATTGTGCAATAAACTGTTAAACCGGTTGCTTGCTATACCCAAATAAAAAAAATTATATTGTATATTTGAAGGTCTTCAGGCAAGGAATGTACATGAAGAATTCATTAGTAAAAGGTAACTCAATTGATTGTACAGTCAATAAAGTTGTAGAAGTAACCAAGTATTCTGCAATATGTTCCGGTTCAAATAGAAAAATTAGGTCTTTTATTCATATCAAAAGATAAGTTCATAATTGTTACGAAATTGAATAAAGTGGCGAACATGTCTCATTCTAATATTGGCTTTATGTTCAAATATAAGTACGCAGACATCGGAGGCAAATGTATAATTAAACCTGTATTTCAAAATTTAACTTGTTATATAAATTTTTAGATAAATCTTAGGCATATTCATACGTGATTTTTGTTAAGAATCTCTATTTTTTTTAACATTGAGTTGACATGTTTGGGTAAAACCATGACAAACACAAACAAAGAGCTGCAGAACAAACAAATTTTTACAAGCTCGTTATTTAGATAAATGTTTTTAGGAAATATATCTTATTTTGGGAGTTTTCGTATGCACTTTGATTACCATTCTACTGGAGACAGTGAATAAAACCCTTACTAAAATTTCAACAAATATATGAACCCCTTCGTAATGTAAATATCAAGATAATTACAAAAAATGGGCGAAGAGCAATTGCACTAAGTGTTAAAGATGGTAAGTTTACGATTTTACCTGACAATTTCATTGAAATGTGTTAGTCGTTGACTGGCATATCCGTGCGTAAGCTTAAGCAATATACTACTGCTGCCATCTCCCAATTGGGACATGCGAAGGGAAAACATGGTTGTTTTAGTCCAGTGTACCTTAAGAAATGCATAAACAAAAGAACCGACTAGAAGTTTTCGTGAAAACGTGTAAAAAATACATACTCGAAATTTGGGCTGTTCGGTAACAGCCATAGATTACAATGCACTTAATATAGAAGCTCATGCATCCGATAACCTAACAAAATGACTTTTCTCAACGTACTTTTACCTGTGATGCTGTATACACTCGGTGGCTTTGCATAACGAGGCTTCCTATACCTGTCAAACGTAAGTTTACCTATTACGCCCGATTTCCACTTTTTTCGAAATTATCAAATTTGCTAAAAAACTGGTATTTCTATAAAACTTTATATTCTTTCATAAATCACAATGTACCCTTATGTGAAGAACGACCATTACTTACTTGCTGTAAGACATGGGGGAGTGGCACAGCTTGAGCTGTGCTCGAGTAATTGGACGTTACTTTTATAAATCGTTGAATTTAATGAGTTATGTACCCTATTGTACTGTGGCCAATTGGCAGCCATAGTTTACTATGGATGCGCTTTATTTTTGAGAAAAAATAAACAAAATTCTGAATACCTTAAAGGGTGCAACAACGGGCTATTATAGGTATGGAGACGTGGACAACATTTAATGTTAAATCGTATTTTTGGGAAAGAATTATTTATAACCACTCGCTAGACCTTTCTAAGTGTCTTTTAATTACACAGTTGTGCGTACCACAAGACAAGTTGTGTAATGCTTTTGGTTGAGCCATTGTGCTTTTGGCGCTGTAATTACCTTATCATTTAATTGTTTTCGCTACCATTACTTGAATCAGTGTCAACCTCGTTGCAGCTTTAACATTTGGACATTGTTGAACCACTCTGCAGCTTTTGGTTGCTACTATTATTTTAACTGTTTAAGAAGCCGAGTGATTGCTAAATATTTGGAAGAGAGAAGTAGAATGCAGAAGACATAGCTGGGACACGGCTGCATTTTTTTAACTTTTAAAATACAAAAAAGAACTAAAGAAGGAACAAATCATTCCAACGTTATGCATCCAGCAACGGGATGCACGCGGTTTCATGCAACAAATTGTGCCTGCAGGAAACATGTTGTACCAATGCACCACTGCACATGCCTTTGAAGCCACAATCCAAGAGGTGTCTTTCAGAGTGGCAAAATCGATTAAGCTACTTGCTTTTGTTTTGTCGTGGTTAATTTTGGAAAAAAAATGCAATGGCCTTTAGCGTGAGTTCGTATAGGGCGCATCGGTGGCGAAACAAAAAAGACAAGGGATTCCCATGACGTATATTATGTTTCAATTATTGTCATTGGTTAAATATTATTCCAGCAGTTTACAGCATATATACGACTTCCAAGATGTGCTTTTGCATCAGAGCACTTCTCTAAGCCTGCGACGAAATGTTGTTCTCAGTCTACGTTCTTGGCGGATGTTATATTTGGATCAACATACTGGGTATCATCTAGTAATATGTGTCAAGTAGATAACACATGCTGAGTTATTTCTTATATATAGACGACGACTAACAGATTGTTCTTAAACTTACTGCTGCCTTACAGGGCATTTAAGATAAAACAAACCCAAATTTTAGCAACCACAGACCAAAATGCTATATTTATCAATAAATAACGTGGCATGTCTTTGAATACTGTTCTTCTGGGGAACTTGTATGCGACAGGTCCAGATGGAGTTCAAACGCAAGAATGTGGGAAACGATTGAACTACCAGACGCCGACGGACCGGTACGAAAGGAAGAAGACAGAATCCCCGCCAAACAGTTGGCCCTTTCACGTAAGTAAACGGAAGCGGTTGATAATATTTAACTATTTTCGATATTCATCAATACGTAGTGGATTACAAAAATGAAAGTATCATTGACATTTTTGTAATGAGAAATGTCTAATAAAATATATCTCAATGACACATTGAGTCTAATATTTCAACAAATCTGTGCGCATTATTTTCAAATTAATAGGCCATACAACTGCAGATTTTTACTCTTATTGCAATATCCATTAACATGCAAATGTAGTTTCATGAAACAATGCGCACGCGTAATATTGTATTACCGTTTTAGTAGAAAATAACACGCTTTTAAAAAATTTCGTTTGTTCAGCTTGGCGACAACATACTCACTATCATACATTGTTTAAAGCGTGAAATGTGAACTCAAAGTAACCACGTATTCTTAGCTATGAAGAATACAAATCAGGATCTAAATGCAATGCAAAGTTTTATAACAACCGCACACACACTCTAGCATGCGGAATTTTCAAAGTGTAGGCTTCCGAATCCGAGGATACACAGGATATTTATAAAATATTCATGAATTTTTTTTATGCAATGTTCAGTTTGGGCTTAAATGTACATTGAATTACAAGAAAAGTATTTGTATTATTAAATATTGACGATCTATAAATAGAGAATCAACGAGCATGGTCTACACACATATACTTGCAGTTGTAATAGCACGAGCTTGCTTATTATTTTTTCCATCTAAAACGATACTAATGTAAAATAATTTGTTTAAAAGGAAGTCTTTAAACTCCTGATAAGCAATATTGGATAACGATGACAACTATATCCAAAGAATAGATAAGTAATATCTAAACTGGCCACATACAATGCCATTATATAATATAAACTGAATTTTAGGAAAATCCAATACGTTTTTAGAAATAGTAGTCAATCAAAGAGGCCTCAATTACCGCAAATGAAATAGCCCCGTACTTTTAAAGAATACGTTTGAATATAAGTTCAGCTAAAATATTAAATATGCTATGTTTGCATATTCATAGTTCTCACTTGTCGCGCCTTCTATTAAGGAATATCTGTCGACAATTTATTATAATTAGTTTCAGACAACCCTTGCCGTTGTTGCTTGCCCCACCTGAACATAAAAGTGTCATGTTGAGAGGTTTGAGAACTCACTGCAAAAATGGCATACTTATTTTCCTAGTACCGACTAGGGAAATATTATTAATCTATATTTCCATTACTATGTGCGTTTATTGGGATTTAAAGAGCGAGTATAAACATAATAAACTTATTCATCACTGGCATTTAAAGCAGTATTAAGAATTTTGGCCGGCTTCAGTTTCCCTGATAGTCATTGAAAATATTCATTTTGCTTAAAATTAAAGTATTTACCAAGCAAGATATATTTTAAGTTCATACTGCATATGAGAATACATGCAGATATGTAGGCGATTAGACGTAGACGTGCCTGAGCACTCCAAATTACATCAAAACGTTGATGAGTAATTCGTTGCTTTTTATTATCGTTCGTAGTAATAGATTATATGCTATGAAAAACAGCAGGTTTTAGAAGGACCTTAATTATGTTTTAATTTAGCAAATGCATGTAGGTGACTATTTTCCTAAGTTGTTTGAAATGCAGAACTTGCTACATATGGACAGCTTCTTGTGTCTGTGTGAGCCACTTATAAATGTGTGTTGATGATCAGAAGAATTTAATTATTGTCGTTTAACTTTTATTTACATAATGAAAAGTAACACAGTATATTATCTAGTATATGCCGGACGTCGTAATAATCCTGCTGCTTGTCATCGATTTACGACCGGATGTGGGCTTACTTTTTCCACTACTCAAATTCAGTTCGTGACATTTCGTGACACAGATTATCCACCGTGTCATTTAATGTTGCATAGGTTGGAGTCTATAGTTCCGCCCTGGGTCCATATCCTTATTGTGGAGGAACACTTATTGCGTCAAAATGGGTATTGACAGCCGCTCACTGCGTCATCGATGCCCTTCAATGCAAGCCTTTCCAATATGGTCAATTCTTCTCGTATCATGATGTCACGGGACATTCAATGGCCGTTGTTGTGGCAGACCATAAATACAGGCCGCTGCAGCGTCCGGCCTACAACGTGGAAGTGAAGGGTGTGATCATGCATCCCTCTTTCGACAACAGCGTATCAACATCTGGATTTGACATCGCACTCCTACAACTGAACCGTGAAGTCAAACGCTGTATGTGTCAGCACGTGCTTTGCGCGATATCTTCTTTTACATGTGTAATTGCTTTTCGTACGTTGCTGCGGACACAATATTTAAATGTAAGCAAACATCCGTAAATGTGAATCATTACTGAACAAGCAGTGTATATCCCGGTGTAGAAGGCACTCAATTCTTTTCCCAGAAAGTCTTTATAATTTGCAAAACAACTTTACGTGCATGAAGCGATTGCAAACTGGATTGTCGTAAGTGAATGTCGGGCGGTCTAATGTCAAGAAATTGATTTCAGTCATATCAGGTCATAAAATATACTAAGTAATGGTAGTTGGCATTTCATGAAACAGGATAATCCAGTATATATGTTGAATCATAGGGGTGATTTATTATAACAGTCTGCACTTAATAGTAGTTAATGATCATAAATGTGCTGCAATTAAAATGCATTCATTTCTCTTACTTATCTTTGAAGCACGGTGGACAGAATACGCATGTCTCCCTGAACCTGGGTTTTCTCTTCCTACTGGGCATTTCTGCAACTTTGCTGGCTGGGGAAGGATTCCTAATCCACCTCATCTTCCAACGCCACGTCTCTCCGAAACTCTGATGGAGGTACGCATTCCAATCTCATCAACCGCTGCGTGCAAGTTTATGCGTGGATTTTCAGACGAAACGGAGGCATTTTGCACAAATAACCTATATGGGGTAAGGAAATAACCACGAAGTCACCTTTTTTTCAAAAAGTAAAGCGAATTCAATGGATACTTATTCCCGTTTCCCACTTTATTTTCCAGGCCCTATGTGCTGGTGACAGCGGAGGGGGGCTCCACTGTGTAACTCAAGGCGGATCGAAGTGGTTTGTCTACGGAGTATTATCAAACAGCCCCGAAAACTGCACGAGGGGATTCGATGTATTTGCTTTCACGGCGACGAAACTCAGCTGGATTGAACAGGTTATCAATTCAAATCCGTAGTACGGTTTCACGCCACTGCTGGTCTCCGAAATCCGCTGTGACTGTGGTATCTAGTGTAAACACAATATAGAACAAAATATATTGTACACGAATACATGCTTGAATTAAGTAAACTAAGACATTCCCGCACTCATTAAATTATTGCAGAATTCATATTCCATTTTTTTCCAAACGGGTGTTTAAATACCGCGAAATGCTTATAAATTGTGTAACATATATATCAATATAATGAAATGCACACGCGTTATAAAACATGGTACATCAAAATTGTAAACTGTTTATAGATTCCTTTCTCACATCATTGATCAGTATGCATTACGACTAAGACTGAAGGAATAGGAGCTGGTAGGAAATTGGACCTAAAGATGATAAACGCAAGCAACATTTATAATTATGTGACGATTACATTATTTTAAGTTTAACGGTACACATTCCCTAAGCATTACCTTTTGGGATGTTACTATGCTAGGTCCATCAAAATCGGTTAATAATTATATTGTGTCATACTTTTTTCAATAAATTTACATGTTGGAACAAATAACAAGACCCTCTGGATAAACGCGAGTGGTGGTCTTTGCGTATTTGTGGGTGGAAAGAAAAATGGAATAGGAAAAAAGATTTTATTATAAAATATACTCTTTGTTCATTCAGTCACTCTAGTTATGAAAACTAGGCTGAATCTCCTATGTTTACTGCGAAAGCTGCAACTTTTTGACGGGCATGAACCAAACAGATTCTAGGGGAGATTATCGGGTGGAGCTAATGCAGAATGATGTTAGACAACACTGATGCATATTTACATCGATTATGCCTACAAAGTACGCTTCTGGAAGTACTTTGATGTGATAGTCGCTGATTCTGGTCGTTCCACTTCAGTCTATCACATTGCAACTACTGCATGGGCATTTTTGCAGTTCTGGATCCTTCAAAAATTTGTCGTTATGTGTGCAATTTATATTAAGGCATGTGGGCGTATTTCACAATACCTCATTTCAAGCACGCATAGCGCAATATTAATCTGCTGTCTCTGACAAGGGCCTGCAGACTGGTTGCCTTTATTAAGAAAATAAGGCATACATACACACACAACCTCTCGTCTAAACGGCAAACCGGATCTCACCATTTCTCTTGAAACGCTGCTCTTTTCAGTTAGCACCTGCACTGACACACCTCATCAACTTGTCCTTCATGGAGTCTAAGATTCCCGATGAGTGGAGATCAGTGAGATTCACTCCAATCGTGAAAAAAACCTTCCTCTTCTGGTCCAAAATCTTTTCGTCCAATTGTCTGCTCTT